AAGAACTTGAATAGGCTAAAAAATTCCTTGGGAATTCCGTCCCAATCTGAAACCTGGTTCAAATCCACTTTGCAACATCACAGTAGCAAGCATCTTATACACAGAAGGCATGATATTCTATGAGGCCAAGTCTTCACCGATAGAATTTACTAGATCCACCGTAATCAATGCGTGTCTGCCAGAATGACTACCTTTTCCATGATTGACTAGCTCTTCATTCTTCCAAACGAGTTTCATCATCTGAGACATTGTAGAAGGCACATCTCCAGCCATGTGAATAGAAGGCCTTCCTAGAAGAAGGTTGTAGCTGGTGTCAATATCTAGGGCTTGAAACTATGCCTTAAACTTAGTAGGGACTAATTGGATAACCTGATTTATGGCTTATAAGGTATCTCTTTGAAACCCATCGAAGGCTCTCACATTGACTTGATTTTGCTCAAGTTTTCCAAAGTCAAACTTCAACTGCTTTAGCGTCGACAACGGAAAGATGTTCAGATTAGATCCATAATCTACTTTTATGTGATTGATAACCTTTTTGTGACAGATGACAGTGATATGCAGTTCCTTGTAGTGGGACTAGCATTCAAAAGGCAGCTCATCGTCACAAAAGTTGATTTGACGCTCTCGAATAACCTGGTGGATAATACCGTCCATGTTATTTCTTCTTGTGCCTACGGGTACATACGTATCATAAAGATCCTTCAACAAAGCCTGCCAGTGCGATTGAGAACTCATCAGCAAGGCCCATACAGAAATATGGGTTGGAGTCTTCTCCAAATGCTTGACAATAGAATGATCTTTCGACTGCATTGTTCTCCAGAATTCCTCTGCCTTACCCTCGCTTATTATCCTTTTAGCTTGATCCTTCTTTTGACCTCTGAGAGCAAGCTCCTCATGATTATAACATCTTCCTTATCGGGTCATACCTTGTGCATCACTAGTCTCAATCACAACGTTTTTGTCTGACAAGAGTCTCTGGTTGCACAAAGGTAACATCCTTTGCGGGTGTCAAGATCACGAACTCTTTTTCTCCTTGACGCTTAATGAGGCCACGGACTTTTTGTAGCTCGTCATGCACAACTGGAGCTATCAATTTGGACACACACCAATCATCGTTTGTCTCTATCATGTTGATATTGACATCGGCATGATTTGGCAAATGCTTGGTGTTAAAATTACGCGTGGCTTCTTGAAGAGAGACCACCTCTTGGTCGATCAGATCTTAAATCTTATGCTTGAGGTCGATGTAGTCTTCAGTATCATGTCCAACACTATTGGAGTGATACACACACCTTTGATTGGTCCTGTAGAACTTTGAACTAGTATCCACCGGTTTGGGCTCCACCGGGTGTATATATGCAGCCTCAACCAGTCGCTCGTAATGATTTGTTAGTATTTAGATAAGCGTGGTAAAATTCATGGAAGGATTCTTCTCAAATCTGGGTTGAGGAGGATCATAATTGCCTTGTTGGGGAGGAGGCACCTATTGATAACTCCTAGTATTTGGACGGGGAGCTTCGCTTTTGGGATATGGATTTGTTTGGTAGTTTGATGATGGAGCTTGGTAATTTAGAAGGGGATTTTGGGATAGTGGAGATTCGACTTGATAAACAGGAGGGGGTTCTCTATAGCTTGAGTGCACGTTAGCATATTTGGGAGCAATACCTTGCTAATAAGGAGAAGGAATTTGGTAAATTAGACGATGATTTTGCTATGTGGGAGATGGATTTTCGTAAATTGGAGGTGGATTTTGGTATGTGGGAGATGGATTTTGCTAAATTTAAGGTGGATTATTTTTTTGCAGAGCCTAGTAAGAGTGCTGAGAAGGTCGAGAACGACCTTGGGAGTGGGAGTACGAAGATCTTCTTTGGTTTTTCTCTATTTTTTTCAACAACGCTGAAGATCAAGGTGATGCAGCTACACGGGCTATCTTTGCTGATTTTAAATCGTTCTCGACAGTCTCACCAATCTTGACTATCACAGTAAAATTTTGTCCCCACGAGCAACATGATCCTATCGTAATATTCGGGCTCTTGCACCCCCATGAACACTTCAACAATTTCTTTTTCAGACATGGGCGGTCTCAACCTCGCCGCTTCTTTTCTCCACCTATAGGCAAAATCCCTATAGGTCTCGGTTGATTTTTTATTCATCTTCTCTAAAGAGTATCGAGCTGGAACAATTTTTATGTTGTGAGCGAACTTATTGATTAAATTTTTGGCCAATTCATTCATGTTAGGCCATTTTCTAGTTTTATGCAAGGTGAATTTTTCAAGATCTTCTCTGCACAGGCTTCGGCAAAAGATCCGCATCAATAGAGCTTCATACCTACCAGCTCCAATTAGATGGTCGGAGTAGGCTCTCAAATGATCCATAGGGTTCCCCACTCCATTGAAAGTATCAAATTTTAGAATTTTTAATCCTTCTTGAAGGTCCAAATTTAGATGAATACATAAATCTTCATAACTAAGCCCGACAATATCAGGGACGCATTGGATCTCTTTCATGGCTTTCTTGATCTCTTCTTTTATTTCCACATTTGCCTCTTCCTTTACCCTCCACTCCTTTTTCTTTTACTCATAATTGTCCAGCATAGAACCGTGCAGATCATGCTCGGCAGGGACGAGAATTTTGAAAGTGGTTCTTTGAGGTAAGGGAGGATCTATAGAGGGACTCTAGGCATGTTGAGTGGTTTGATAATTTTGTGGGTAAGTCTTAGGATTGGTATTCTTATTTAAGTTGTTGTGGGTGTTTGGGGGTTGGAAGTATTTTGGTTTTGATTTTACAAGGGTGGAGCAGTTTGATGGTGATTATTTTGAGGATGGGGTGGCATTTGGGGGTGGTTTTTTAGGAGGAGTTGGAGTTTGGTAGGATGCGGAAGCATATTGGGATTTTTGGTAGTCAGATCTATAACAGACTGATTCTGCGAAGGTGTAGACGGCTGGTTCGGGGCTGGAACCATAGTTGAAGAAGGTAAGTAGATTGGCGGTCTCCCATCAGGGGCGTTACCAGCAAACCATGGCGGAGGCAGATCCTGTCTCTTTTGCATTTCAACTCTCATTTCTGCAGTTTACTGCATCAGCTGCAAAATCAACTCATTCTGGTCTGTTATGGTGGGTTGAGACACAAAAACATTAGTAAGACCTACTTCTTCATTACTATCCCCCATAATTGTCTTTCTTTCGTCTGAGCTTTGCCCTGGGAAGGAATCTGCGGGACCTTTTGATCTTGTGAAATAGTGATGATCTGCCAACTTTTGATTGACACAGATCAGTTTCAAGTACTTGAGAAGGAAAACATCTTAAGGGCAGATTTGTCAGTGCAGATTCAGAATGCAAAATGCATAATATCACACAGAGAGCAGATAAACACACAAGTTGCTTTGTTTGGGGATATCTTCAACTCACGAGTAAGGACGAAAATACATTTTTAACGAGGAGTTTGCTTGTTTTAGTTTGACACTATCTGAGAAAGGCTAAATCACGTTAGCTAAGATATTCTCACAGATATTCTTTGACATCCGTTGATCTGGCCTTCGCATCTTCTTGAAACATAAAGGGCAGAATGGAAATTTTAAACATAGGGGTCAGTCATGGGAAAAGCTGCCTACGTATCCCACAAGGAGAATTTAGGCCCTACATAGTTCGAGTACAAAAGAAAAATTTTTCATTTATTTATTCATTGCGATTACAGGGAAATTGAAAGACAACAAAGCTTTAAAGATAAAAATAATGACTACATCTCATTTATTCTTCATCTCGTTGCAGCATCAATCACGAGGAATAAACTCGACTATAATATTTTCCATGTTGACGGGGGATTCAAGGTCGTAGTGAAAAACAAAACATTTAGAGATGCTATAATTTATAGCATCATGGTAAGCACAAGGTTTGACGATTTCTCCCCCAACGAGATCGCGACTGTTGTCATCATCATAAAGGGAGGCTAAGATCGCATTATTAACCAAATCCATGTAAATATGTAACATTGATTCTTTGAACGGAGTGAATTTGTAACAAACAAACTGAGTGCGCTCAATTGGCTCGGACAGATCATAAGCGAGAGCTGTATTATTACCCCGCATGTGCGGGATATTCCCAATATCCTCATCTTGTGTTGCACGCATTCCTCTATAGTGTGTCCTCGCTGGTTTGGGTGGAATGCACATACTCTTGAATAGTTTCCTTGCCGAAAGATTTAAATGATCCTTCTAGAGGTGTCAATCTGAAATATTCGTACAAAAGTGCGCAAAACATAACCCCCTCCCCTACACTATGCATCGGGTCATAGGGCAGAAGAGTGATCCACTTATTCCTCCTCTCAGACGGCCTAGAAATGGAGGTTTGTAGACTATTTTCTCGTCGGCGTCTTCCCTAGTCGCTCAAAGGTGAGTGTCGTCTGGACCACCACTAGCCTCTTATTCGCGGATACAATATTTATCGCGCTTTTTTGATGTTTGGTGATCATGTTATGGTGGAATGCCTTGTTCTTCTCCCTCAATTTTTCCATTCATTCTCTCATGGTGATGAATTCTGTCATCTCCACCGTCAGTTCCTTATCAATTGCTGCATTTCTAGCCAACATATTTGCGGTTTCTGAATCTATCTCCGCTTCTCTTGCCTCCCTTTCCTAAATTATTAGCCAAAGCATATCCAACTTCTTACTTAAGTCCTCTTTCTACCTCGATGCTTTTCTTCTTCTTCTTTTTGACGTCAAATACTCATCTAGTGCTTCAGTCACGCCTTTACAGACCGATGAGGCAACTTCAACCCTGAGTTCTTCTTCTCTAACCTCTTGAATTTCTTGAGTGATTTGTTCGATGTTTCTTTGTAACTCTTTCCTAGTGAGTTCCATCTGGATATTATTACCCTTATCCATAGTAGTGATTTGCTTTTCGTGAGATAGTAGAGTAATGTTTTAGGATTTGGGATATGAGAGGTGTCTTTGAGTGAGAAACATAAGACTCAAAAAATTTTGGTCTGACATTTTTGTGACAATGACTTGTATATTTCTGGACTTTCTGGCAGGAGTAGGTTTACGATATCCTCATTCATAGCGACATATCACATAGACAATTAAAAAACATATATCACATTCTTAATATATTTGTGACTCTTTTATACCAAGGGTAGGCCTAACGAATTAAAGGATGTATATGATTTTTAACCGGATTTATTATCCCTAAAATACTTCATTAATAATATCCAAAATGTCTGATACACATAAAACAAAGAAATAGTTCTGAATCTAAATTATTAAACATATAAACCAGTCCCACGCAGGGGATGGTAAATTAAATTCAAGCCTCATCTGATCCTTCATCAAGTCTGGTCCTCTTGGCTATGATGACCTCTTTCCACATAGCATATTTGTTTTCCCATAGAAGATTTCTCGCCAATTGATCTCCTTCTTGATGTATGAACCTATCTATCAACAGAATCTGTTGTTCCATGCTATCATTTAAGTCTATTATGCACTATTTAGAATTTCGTAGCTCTTGTTTCAATTTAGCTATGACTTTGGCGTCTTCTGAGTGACGACATTGATGCTCTAATTCATTCTTATAAAACTTCTCTTGAAGTCAGTGAAGTCGGACATGATGTTTGTCTCCAACATCCGCAATAATGTGAGGAACATTTGGACCAGGCTCAATAATTCAAGAGATACTCTTTTTTCAACCATTTTTTGTACTCCCTAGAAAATTCTTGACGAAACCTGTTTGGTACAGGTTCACCCAACATTCTTCAAGATCTCTACATCCTACGTATGTCTTCAGCAAATGAGACTCGTCCATTCTTGTGGTCAGTTGTAAATTTCGTCATATCTGCAATCTGGGGAAACTCTTGTTTTCCTCCTAGTTGCCTTAGGACTCGACCAGGAGTCTATTGTCTAGTCCCTCTTAACCCAACAAGTACCAAGTAAGGGACTTTTTCTGTTCGAACAACCATATTCTAGTTACCACAAAACTATCTATTGACCATGATACGTCTTCTTCTCTCGGCCCTCGAGGCCTCGATTACCAAAAACCTTCTCCTTTAGTCTTATTGCAACGATTGTGGTACAACCACCAATCATGACCATGTAGCTCGTATGATCATTTTAGGGGATCTGGTTCTTTTGGATTATGAGTCTTGATCAAATGTCGCATCATCCACCACTGGAGTATCAGATTACACCCTTGACAGAAGTGTTCTCCCCTTTGACATTTGTCTAAAGACCTATAGATGTCGGCCAAAATCATAGGCGCTTAAGGGTAGTACTTTGTTGATGATTTATAGTCCACTCCGTAGAAGATGGCATGAGTGATCATAAACACGCTAGGATGAATAGTGTATTTTTTCCTTTGAAGAAAAACCATCGTTTCGAGTAAACATATTGCAAATGTGAGGGGACGCGTCTCTTTCCATTTTTCTTTTGAAACGAACTCGTCTTTATATTTCTCATAATCCCTTGGACGTTTGAACCGATAATATAGCATTCTAAAAGCTATATTTAAGCCGAGGAGCTTGTCCATCCACTCGATTTTAACCAATGATAGTTTTTCTCTTATTTTGGTGAAATCCCATATTATAGGATTTAGGAGATCTGTATTTGCATTTTTTTTCCTTTTGTTGCACATGGAGTCACTTTTGTAACTCGTGAGGATTTCTTCTATTGTCGGCGTCAACTCTACTTCCCTAACTCAAAATACCATATGCTCTCTATCCCAGAATTTCACCATTGTTCCAATCAGGCCAGGCCAAGAATTCAGCTCTAGCAGTGATGGGAGGTAACCTGAATAATCATTTTACCATCGTTGTTCATGAACCTCCACCATACTTTGGGGAAGGTATCAGGGACAGTAATTATTCTTATTTTCAAAAACTCGTGTGTCGAAATCATCCTGCAAAAATAGCAGACAAAGATTAGTTAACCCCCATCCCCGTAGACAATAAATCATTTTAAAAACACACATACATACTTCAACTATCACATAAGCATAGTTGTCTATTTTTGGCAATTTGGGCAAAGTTGACAAAAGGTGGACTTCTAATGGGCCCCACACGCCTTGGGTGTTGGGGTCGCCCTAGCTCAAATGCTGCTAAACTAGGGATTTTGGCTCGGTTCTACGTTAGTTGACTAGGAGCTACTTTTGAAAAGTTCGGGAACCCAAATGGAAAATTTGGGCTGGAACTCGCGACAATCGTTGGACGCATAACGAACAAAAAATTGCCACTAACTCCAAAAGAAGGTGAGTATAAAAAAGTCTGGCTATTGTTCCGCAAATCGTACTTTAATATACTATACAATATATAACAGAAATATGCCATGATATGCAATGTCAGTTTATAATTTAAACAAATTAATCACATATAAGTAACTTAATAATAACAATTAGTCAAAATTGTCAAATACTTTTGGTTAGAACTCAATAAATCTCAAGTAGAATCGTCATTTCTGTTTTAAAAAATATATATATAAAGTTAAAATGACTAACTTTGGAAAAATTGATTAGTCTTATGATATAAGAAAAATTGACTTTTCAAATTACAGATCCGCCACATGATTTTTAGTAAAATCAAGAAAACATAAAATATTTTTCAAAAGATTTAAAAAACCAGATAAAAATCTACTGAAAATGGTTAGAAGTTCAAATGTACATTCTGAAAAGGTGTTAAGCCCTCAGAATGTCCGCTAACTCGCGGTTGACCGACGATTTGACTAAATGACCTTTTAAAAATAATTTTTTTAATATTTACTAAATTAAATGAAATAAGAAATTTTATTATTATTATCAAATTATTATTTATTTATATTATTATTATTTATTTATTTGGAAAAAGAGAAATCATTTAAAGGGAGGAATGACATTAATGGGTAAAATAAAAAAAGGATCAAAGCTATGTGATTAGTATTATATATATATATATATATATATATATATATATATATATATAT